CGTTGTGCTACAAAGATTCCTTTCTTTGATCATGCAACCTCCATGCCTAGGAAATATTTGAGTGCTCCAAGGTCCTTGATATCAAATTCTTTTGCCAGATATTCTTTTAATCTCTGGATCTCCTCACAGTGATCTCTTGTAATAATGATGTCATCAATATATACAATCAAAATAAACTTTTTACTTGAATCACCATGCTTGATGAAAAGAGTGTGGTCGGACTGACACTGCTCATACCCAACTTACTTTACTGCTCTTGTGAACCTCTCGAACCATGCTCTTGGTGATTGCATGAGTCCATAGAGTGATTTCTTAAGTCTGTACACCTTATGAGGGCTCTCAGATATTTCAAATTCTGGCAGAATATCCATATAAACTTCTTCTTCCAAATCACCATTAAGAAATGCATTCTTCACATCTACCTGAAACAAGGGCCAATCAAGATTTGATGCAAGAGAAAACAGTATCCGTATCGTATTATGTTTGGCAACAGGGGCAAAAGTCTCTTGATAATCTATTCCATATGACTGTGTGAATGCTTTTGCAACAAGGCGAGCTTTGTATCTGTTTATACTACCATCAGGACTATATTTGGTTGTAAAAACCCATTTACATCCTACCTAGTGCTTTCCTGAGGGCAGTTCAATCAGCTCTCATGTCTCATTCTTCTCAAGAGCTCTCATCTCTTCTTGAATAGTTGCTCTCCATTCTGGTATTTGAAGGGCTTCATGAACAGTTTTCGGTTATGGAGAGTTATCTAGTTTACTCACAAATGCATGATATTCTGAAAACAAATTGTCAAATGACGCATAATCTTGTATAGGATGATTAGTGCAAGATCTGGTATTTTTTCTCAATGCAATAGTCAGATCATCATCAGTAGTAGGGTTTGAAGCATTATTACCTAGTGAAGCCTGGACAGTTGGAAACAAGATTGAGTCATAACAGAGTTCGGTCTCTTCTGGTGGTTTCCCTTTCTGAGCCTTGTTCCTCCTAGTGTAGATACGTAACTCATTTACTGCAAGAAATGTGTCCTTAGTTCCTACAACAGATTTTGGTTTAGGCTCATGTTGTGTGAATAGTATCTGTGAAGGGCTTGAGTGGACTGGAATAGGTAAAGATATGATGGCATCCCAAAGGTGATATTCCTGAGTAACTTTCTCCCCCTGAATATCACTTTTGGTATAAAATGATTGATTTTCGAAAAATGTTACATCCACAGTGTTGCAAAACCAACTAATATCTAGGAAAAAACATTTGTATCCCTTTTGATTGGAAGAATACCCAACAAAAATACACTTGAAAGCTCTAGGATCAAGTTTGCCTCGTAGATGAGAATGAACATGAATATAGGCAGAACACCCAAATACTTCAAGTGGTAAAAAATTTAAAATGTGAGAGTTTGAAAAAAACTGTGAAAGAAGCTCATAGTGTGTTTGAAACTGTAGTATGCGGTAAGACATTTTGTTTATTAAATAGGTGACAGTAAGTAAGGCTTCCCCCCAAAACTGTTTTAGAACATGTGAGGTGAACATAATGGATCGAGCAACTTCAAGGATGTGCCTGTTTTTCTTCTCGGCTATGCCGTTTTGTTGAGGAGTATAGGCACAATAATTTTGGTGAATTATCCCATTTTCTGCAAGGTAGTTTTTAAGGGTTGACTCAAAATACTCACATGCATTATTGGATCTCAATACTTGTATGGTAGTAACGAACTGGGTTTTGATCATGGTGCAGAATTTTTTGAAAATTACACTAAATTCTTATTTTTCTTTCATAAGGAACACCCAAGTGATTATAATATGGTTATCAATAAAAAATACAAACCACTTATTTACGGATATGTTAGTGATTCTGGAGGGACCCCAGACATCACTGTGAATTAATGAAAAGGGTTTTGAGGGTTTATATTTTATACCAGGAAATGAACTTCAAATATGTTTAGGGAACTGGCAAACTTCGGATTGAAATTAAAGTAAATTTTTATTCGTGAATAATGAAGGAAAGATTCTTTTTAAATACAAGACATTTGGATCTCCTAGGCGAAAATGCCATAACATAATTTCATTTTCACTACTAGGGCTACTTGTAGAAACTGAATTAGCACATACTATTTTTTGAGTTTGTCTACTAGAAAGGGCAGCTTGAAGTAGGTAGAGACCAGATTTCATCCTAACACTGCCAATCGTCTTCCCAGAGTCCAAGTCCTGAAATTCACACAATGTTGAACCAAATTTAGCAACACAGTTAAGTTCCCCAGATAGCTTACTTACTGATAGCAAGTTACAGTCCAAATTAGGTATAAAGAGAACAGAACGTAGAGTCATCTTTGGTGATATAATAACAGACCCGATTCCAACCACTATCGAGATAGACTCATCAGCACTTTTAATTGTAAAACACTCAGTGCACGGTCTGTAATCTTGAAATAAGAAAGCATTACTAATCATATGATCGGATGCCCCGAAATCAACTATTTAGGTCTATCCACTTGTTGAGCAAGCTGTAAAACTGAGACTATGAAAATTCTTACTTTTGTGAGCAACAATCACATTAGCAGAACTCTTGGAAAATAATTTCTGGAGCATCTCAAGCTGCTCATGAGTAAAAAGACACTTTTCCGCTGCTGTTGAGGGAGCTTCTTCACCGGTTGCTATCAACAAATTTCCCTGAAGCTCAGTCGCATTTTCTGGTCTTGAAAGCTTTCGGTCAGCCGGCTTTCCATGGAGTTTCCAACACCGATTGCGCACACGGCCGGGCTTCTTACAATAATCACATAAGGGCCGACCTTTCTTGCCTCGACTGTCCAGATGCGTCGTGAGGGTATACGCGTTCTTGGCTGCAGTTGTCGCGGTCTGTCCTTCTCCCATCATGACTTTCTTCCAACTCTCCTCTCGTCGGACCTCAAAAAAAACTTCACGAATATTGGGCAGCGGCTTCAAGCCCAGTATTTGGTCGCGCACGTCATCGAGATAAGAGTTCAAACCCAACAAGAACTTGAAAATTCGTTTGCGTTATGTAATTACTTGAAAAGCTTTTGCATCGTCCGCACAATTCCATCGATGCTCCTCAAACATATCAAGTTGTTGTCAACTGCGAGTTAGGATGTTATAGTATTGAGTCACAGTATACTCACCTTGTCAGAGATTATGGAGGGCGGACTCAATCTCAAAAATGGTTGAAGTATTCTCCTTTGTTGAGTAAAACTCTCTTGCAGATACCTAGATTTCGTGAGCTGTTTCATAAAGGAAAAAATTTTCTCCAATTTTTGACAACATGGAATTTACCAACCACGACATCACGAGGTTGTTCTCCATCTTCCATGTTCGCGCATTGGGGTTGGTTGTCGGGAGCGGCGTTGCTTCACCGGTGAGATACTCCTCACGGCCTTCGCCCCGGATGAAAAGCAATACTGAAGATGACCACTGCAAATAATTGTTTCCTTTTAGTTTGTGACCTGTAATTAGAGATGAAGACTGATCAACCAGGCCTTGGTTGAGTGATGAAGGAAAGAAAGGCCCTGAAGAGACCTCGGGTGGAGAAGATGACGTTCCACCGGAAGCCATTTGCGATTCTGGCTAACCCGAAAACAATGGGCAAGGATCAGAATAGCTGCTCTGATACCATGAAGATAAACCTAAAAAAAATGAAAGGAAAAAAAAAACTTTCTTCTTCCTTGATTATTCAAGCAGAATAACATACTTATTTATAGAGAATTCTATAACAGAATTATGAGAAAAAAGATGTCTACAGCAGAAGTGGTGGCACGCTCCACTACCTACTATTCTAATAAAAAAGGAAATATTTTTAGAAAAAATCTTTCCCAATTACAGATTGTAAATAGTAAATTAACTTTCTACAAATTACAGACTGTAAATAGTAAATTAACTTCCTACACAAAAAATTACAGAAAATGGTTGAGAATTGATGGGATAGTCAATGAAGGTTAGTTATATGTTCAACTTGTCGATTACATTCCTTTTTTTTTTTGGGAAACATAACTTATCGATTACATTCTGAAATTCAACTATGAATTTTTGAAACATAAGGTGGTTTGTAATATACCTAAAACCTATAGTTAGAAACTGAGATTTATCGACTTCAATAGCCGTCAAGGCTTTACTTAGCCTCGGCCCCTCAAGTCCATGGTTCAAGGATTGGTACTAGATGAAGAAAGAATAAGAAGAACTATTATAATCCATAGTGCCTTCTTAGGAATAGTTTTGACATAATAAATCATTTAAGCTTACCTCCTATTTTACTATGAGGTGGCTAAATGAAGAAAGAAGAGGAACTATTATCATCCATGCTGCTGTCTTATGTATATGTCTATACATACTAAATCATTTAAGTTTACCCCCTAATTTACTATGAGGTGGGTGACATACCACACTCCCATCTCTTCAACCTTTTGGCAAATTAGAGAGCATCATGGCAGATAGAGAACCAATAATAAAAATTGAATTTAGTAATCTAGCTTCAGGAATATAACACAAAGTGTGGCATAAACAAAATGTTGTAAAATTCAAGTAAGCCATAGGTATTAAGACCGGAACAATACCAGAAATGCAATGTGGGACCCACTAACACCAGACCCAGCAGAGTAAACAGGAATGTCCTTTTGATATCCAATGATGGCGCTTGATCAATTGCAAGCTGAGATCAAAAGTTGTAAAATCCACCTAAGTCATTGTAGAAGTTGCTAGATACATAAGAGAATATGCGTTGTGCCAGGATTCAGGTCATAAACTCAAAACGACAAGTTTTACATGGCTAAACATCCATTTCCACTCAATTTGCCATCATCACGCTTGAAACTTGCAAGTTATATATATATATATATATATATATATATATATATATATATATTTTGAGA